GTGTGATGATGACCTTTAGAGATGGGGGTCAAAGCCTCATCCACAATCCATCACACGACATGCATAATGATAGTGGTTTTGGGAAAGCGAATCATATTTTAGGGTGAAGCTTATGCATGTGCGAGAGATACCCATATGCGCCATAACCCATATGCGCCATAAGAGTTGTGGCTGCATCAGGTTTAGGTGACCTTGATCCGTCTCTAAGATAGAACCATAAATCCACAAACTGGGATTACGACCCCTTGGTTCATTGGTTAGACTTTGGTGGCCCACTAATGAACCCCAGCATGGACTGTAGATCATAGAAAGTACTAGGTCGGTTTGATAAAGCAACTGTGGACCGTAGTCTAAAGTTGAAGGTAGAGTGCCCCAACGTTTATTATTTAATTCCTGGACCATATAGAGCATTTTCCCATCTAATGAATTTAATTATGTTTGTTTTAATGATATATGATTTTTAGAATTATTATTTAAATTATCCTAGATCTTTGGATATTTTATGTATCAAATTTAGATTTATAAAAATAGAGATCAATTTAAATATTCAAATTGGATTTTATGGATTTCTAAAAATCATATAATAAATTTTAAATAATTTTAATATTGTATGGGAGGCCCAATATGTTAGTGGGCCCACCATTGCATATGGGTGGAGCCCATGAAGTACCTCACCTAGGATGGCACACCCCACCTTAATGAAACTTTCCTTGAGTTAGTTCAAGCTTTGGCTTAAAGAGAAAGTTTTGAAGTGTTTTGGGAAGATTTTGTCTTGAGGAAGCTTTCAAATGATTTTTGGAAAGCATCAGAAGGCTTGTGCATAATTTGGGTAAGCACTATATTATGAATGAAATTATTTTATTTAATTGTTATTGATGAGAAAATAGTTTAGGAATGGGGATAAATGTTCTAGCACATTCCATAATATTGATGACCCATCTGTAGAATAGATGACTTAAATATCTCACCCCACAAATCACACAAGATCAATGGTTTATATTCAATCTCACAAAAAGAGGCAGGCCAAGAAAAACCCTAAAAAACCCTAATCTTGTTCAAAGCCTATAAAAATGGATTGTCTCTACCCAAAATCTCTTATACCTAATTCACATCTCTCTCTCATATTCCACATAGGGGGTATCCCCACTTATAATTTCTCTCTCCCTCTCTTTCTCTCTCTCTCTCTTAAGAAAGTTTTTTTTTCTCTCTCAAGAGACCCAAAGGGGTACGCCCCACTCTCTCATCTTTGATATCTCTGTCATTGTGGTTCTCTCAACTCTCTCATGATCGCTCATCTCTCATTGGGGTTTTAGACTATAAGGTTGTGGTAGAAAAGAGAAGTATTTTTCTTAAACTAAGTTGCTCAGGGAATTCACCTAAGGGTTTGAGATTTGTGATAAAGGAGTTCATAGTTCCATTAAAAGGCTTGGCCTAAACTTGCATTCCGGTTGAGAGTGAAGGTTGATCGTTGATTTCGCGTTATCGGATGACGATGACTCGGTGTTGAAAGAAAGACATACGTGATCTTTTACTGGGGAATAATATATATATATATATATCACCCCTTTTGTTTTGGCAAAAGATCACATATAATTGGTCTTATTACAACAATATATACTTCAAAAGACAATCAACATAGTAATTAAACTAATATCTTAAAACTTGATGCCATTGAAATAACTATGCACTGCGTTTGAGAATAAAAATAAGATTGCAAGAAAAAAAAGAGAAGAGTTCCGAGATTACCTCAACCGAACTTATTATACCCCATACCAAGTCACCACCATCCGATGATGCAGGATCGATAATCTTGTTTCAATCTCAAACTCGTAAAGCAATATTAGGCTAAGCCACATCAATAGAACATGAACCTTTTTTATCACAAACTCAAACCCTAGGTGAATTCCCTTAACACCCTAATTTGAAAGAGATGGATTCTCTTTTTACTAACCCTAAAAACCCTTAGCCATAAATCCATAGTTGAGAGATAGGAGAGAGAAGAACTCCATAACCTAAACCCTTAAGTTCTTTCACAATATGGGAAAGAGAGAGAGATCACATGAGAGAGAGATAGAAAGATAAGGTATAGAGATTTTTGGCAGAGACAACCCCTTTTTTATAGGCTTGAACAAGAGTAGGGTTTGTTAGGGTTTTTCTTGACTTGCCGCTTCTTGTGAGATTGAACATAGACTGTTGATCAAGGGTAACTTGTGGGGTGAGAGATATGAGTCATCTATTCCATAGATGGGCCATTAACATTATGGAAGATACATGAACCCTTATCCCCCTCCTAAACCATTTTTCCATCAATAGAAAATAAGTTAAATTAATTTTAATTAAATATTGTGCATTCCATAAAATAACACATCTCTACACCTACTTTTCATAAAGAAAAAGTTTATATAAGAATGCAACCTTATAATGTAGAACTACGGATCCACCTAAAAAATCCATCGAAAAAGGTAGTTTAATGTTGAAAAACCCTTTGATTGATCATCTCGACATCGCCATGTATGACCATGAAAAATAAAAGATTTTAAGTCTAAAAAATAGTGCATTTTACAACATATTATCTACACTGTCCATTTTCAAGATTTTCATATGTCTATAGATCTACTTGATTTTAACTATTTTTTAAATTTAAAATTTTATAAT